CAAATGTATTTTAAAACATTGATTATAATTATATTTATGATAGGAATGGATACTGAATGAAGAGGAAAAGGAGTATAGGAGGCAACAGATTGAGGAGAACCGGAAGTGGAGGGAAAGTAACCGCAAACTCAAGGAAACAAATGCCGATAAAGACATACAATTGTCGGACACATCTAATACCGAGTCCAACGACAGTTTACTGAGTATTTCGGACACAAATATATTGAGCGATGAGGAGATCAGTCAATATATTATGCAAATCGAGAACTTCTCTATAAATGACGATATCGGTGGTAATGATGAGGACAGTGGTCAACAGGAGTTAGTCATTCAAGTGATACCTAAACTGATGAACAACTTTAGCCAATTGAATGATATTGAGTGCAACCGTCTGAAAGAGTTGGTTCACTCGTCCGTATTGGGTATCAAAGAAAAGATACCATTCCCTAAGACAACGTCCTATGCATACAAATCAATCTATGAAGTCTTGGAGGTTAATAAATTGGTATATGATACATATATCGACAACTTTGTAAAAACAATTAAAAAGTTGAGTGCATTCGAGAGTATGTGTCCCGATGACCAATTAACCCTGGCTAAATATGGGTGCTTTCAGTCTAATTTGTTGCGAGGCATTTACTTTTATAATTATGATCTTGATGTGTGGATCATGAAAATGGTAGTGGTAATTATCAATATTTACCTATAACATTTTGGATATCATATTTTGAGACAATATATTAATGTATCTAGGATGGAAACAAAGCACTTACAATGTCATTGGAGTTGTTTAAAGGTTTACCTATAGAAATGTACAGCCATATGAAAAATGTGTTACACCAAGTGGCTAATGAGATTCATTGTGATCCCGTATTACTAAACTTGGTATATTAACTTTTTCTAATTATTCAAGTTATTACGTTATACTAATAATACTGTATATTATCACGATATTTTTGTAGTTTATGCCTATTCTGCTATTTAATAGCGATGTGCCCAATATTAAACATAATGATGCGGTCATGTAAGTGTTAAATAATTTGATTTAGACTTTTACACTAAAAAATAATTATTTTTGTGAATAGTTTTCAACACAAACTATACCAGTATTTACTACAACGATATCTATACGTGAAATATGGCTCAGAATATAAAGCGAATGCAAAGTTATTAAGCATTTTAGATCTTATAAGAGACTTAAGACTTGTGAGTGAATTGTATAAACAAAATGTCAAACAAAGCGTTTTAAGGGATAATGATTGCGGACCACTACTTAAAGAGATACTTGACATCCCGTCCCCTGATTCATGTATAACTCAATTGTAATTATTATTGTTAGAGTCTTATTTATTTCAAGTTTAATCAATAAATATATAAATTAATTATATCATTTGTAATAAATATTAATCTAATATCAATAGTTAGTAACTAATAGTTACTTACAAAACATGTTTATTCCAAGTTTTATTATTTATCTCTGATGCAAAATTAATAAATTATTATTATGAATACAGTACCACTACAATAAACTCAATGTGCACTTAACTTACTATATTTACTTTTGGTACAATTAAATCATAAATATTAATGAAATTTAGCTTACAGTATAACGTGTAAATATAACGTATAGCAATTAAGATTCCCAAACATATACGTTAAATGAGAAATAGATGTGTTTGAGGTGAACTGAGATGTATCTAAGGAAAGGTAATAATTATATGACTATTAATAAAATATACAATAATTGACTTGACAAGAAAAATATCGCTTAATGTTTTAAAAAACTAAGTATAAGAATTGGTTAATAGTCTTTTTTGTGTCACCTCACATGAAAGGCGCAAAAATGCCCACAAATCCAATGCATGTTTCAATCAATTTAAATTCATTATGAATTAAAATATTTTCATAAAACTCAATGCCAATCAAGTTTGAATTTTTAAATTACTTAGGGGTTTTTGATTATAAATTACATTAACTATTAACATTGAAAATATATCTACTGTAACTGATAATTATAAATTATAAGATTCGACTCACTGCTCGGGAAGATCTGAACATACCTTATAGTTACTATAAAATAGGCTGTCCCTGATCAATCGATTTTTATAGTTTAGTAGTGGCTTTCTCAACAAACTTCTGAACTTCAGACTCTGTCTTCAAAAAATAATGCACTTAAACTTGTGTACCAAACGTGTAAACATTACACTGTAAATGTGTAATATCATTTAATGATATAAATATAGAATAAAATAATTTATTCGTTATAATGTCTACAAAATTAAAAGTTTGTGTAGTTTGCGGGGAATGGGCATCAGGTAAGAAATTTATTGAATTCTAAATAATAACTGCAAATAATACTTGTATTTTACAAATATTTAATTATTTGCCGAACAACTACAATGTTACATTTTATTATTTATACAAAATTAAATAAATGTTAATAATAGGCAATAATTTTGGTGTCATTTCGTGTGAATCGTGTAAAGCATTCTTCAGGAGAAATGCCCACAAAACATATGTACGACTAAATCAATTTGAAAATAATTTGTTAGTTTATTAATAGTAATATTTGTTTGTTAATTATTTACTAAAGGGACTTAAATGTATGCTTGAAAACAATTGTTACATAAGTGTGGTAACTAGAAAGTTTTGCAAACAATGTCGACTCACTAAGTGTTTTGCCGTTGGGATGAGAAAAGTAAGACATGAATACAAATTTAATTACAAAAGTATTTGTTAACTAATATTGTGTTTAAGGAATGGATACTCAATGAAGAGGAAAGGGATTTGAGACGAAAGAAAATCGAAGAAAATAAGATTAAGAGACTAAACAAGTATTTAGATACTGATCTAATTGAACGGACAGTTAGTCCACAATCGTATGAATATTCAGATAATACTCTGAATTCAGATGTGGACAGTCGTGTTATAAGTGACGAGGAGTTGAGTGAATATATTAAGCAAATCGAGAATTTCTTTTCAAACGAATCCTTAATTGAAGATAATATTAACATAACTATTAGTGCAAACACTGAGGACATGGATGTTTACGAGATTATCGTCAATCAACACAATATTACTGAATCTTCAAATTCAAGTGAATCTAATAATGCAAATAAATCTGAAAAACCCAATGAAATGGACAGTGATCTGCAACTGGTAGTATTCACCCACCCGTCCACTCAACACTCGTTTACAAACTTTAATTATCTCAATAAATATGAAAACAATTATCTGAAGGAGTTATTGAATACCTTGAAACCAATGGAAAGGATTCAGTTCATGAACAATAATATTAATTCAGTTGGAAATACATTTAATTCAGTCGAGGAGTTCATGATATACTCGACCATAAACTTTGACTCTATTATAAACAAGTTCATTGCCATAATTTTAAGTTTAAGCCGTTTTCAAGACATCTGCCTCGACGATCAATTATCCCTGGTCAAATATGGCTACATTGAAATGAAAATGTTGAGGGTAACCCAATTCTTTAATTACGAGTACCAGAGCTGGGTTTTTAAGGTATTTCCACTAGTTTATAGATTTATGAAATAATCTTTTAATTTTAAATAATATTTAAATTTATAAATAATTACAGGAAAATAACGCTACAATTAAGTGTAATTTGAATATATTTAAAAACTTCAAATATAACGACATATACACTGCTTTAAAGAATTGTCTGCTAAAATTTGCCATTGAGTTAGATCGCGATCATCTCATACTTACCCTGGTAAATATTTTATTATTTTTGTTAGTAATTAATTGACTATAACTTATTGACAGTTAATGCCTATAATACTATTCAATCCGGAGAGACCGAACATTATTCACAAGGAAGTGGTTATGTATGCAAACAATTATATTTAGTATTTTTAAATTGAAGTTTTATTATATTATTTACACATTTTTTATCACAGACTTCAGCGACAATTATATATGTATTTATTGCAACGATATTTGAACATAAAATATGGCTCCGAAAGTACAGTGAAGACGAAATTTGAAATGATTTATAACTTTTTAAATGATATCCAGAAGTTACAGGAATTACATAAACAAAACTTTCAATTAATTAATTCTCAATATTATGGACCACTTTTGAAGGAGATTCTTGATGTGCAAGCTAATTATACTCACGAGTCAGCATAATATGATATATTAAATAATAATTTTATACATTAATTACAATTCTCGGTAATCAATAATTTAATGATTTGTAGTTCAAATAATAAATTTATTTTATTTAATTGTGATTATTATGATAAGTTTTATTTATTTCTAGGTTAGTTAATAAATAAATTTGTATATTATTCATTCATTATTATATTTATCTGATATTGAAATTGTAAACTAATAGTAAATATATTAAGTTAACTGTTTGAAAGCAGTTAATTAATCAAGCCAATGTCAATTAAAAATTAATTTGCAAATTAATTAGAAAATATTTAAATTATAAACAGAATTAATTTAAACCTTTTAAAATTCACTTATAACTTATAATCTATAAGAAATCAAACATATCTACAGTATAATTATCTCAAGTTTTTAGGATTTTTATCAATTCAATTGTATAATCAAATAAATTATTTTGATATAATTTAATTCAAACCAACGCCAATCAGATTGCTAAATTTATAAATTATTACTGAAAGACATTCATTACATATAGGCAATCATGATATACCTTTGTACAGTATAAAATAGATTATACAGATCAATTCAATTAGATCTCAAAAACATGTTTACGGTATTTCTTACAAATTAGTGCAAGTTTTGTACTTTTAGTGCAAATGCAAACAACTCAGTTATTTAACTGTAGTCTATAAAATCATAGTAAATTAATAATTATACAATTAATAAGCTTATTTTCTGTATAATAAATGTACTAGATAAATGAATTTAATCACAATTCAAATTAATATAAGTTTATAACTTATTCAAAATGTCAACTAAACTAAAAAGTTGTATAGTCTGCGGTGAAAGTGCTAAAGGTAATTCTCAATTAGGGAATTTACAATTATTTAAATCATAAATAAATTTACTAAAGCTACATACTGTTAATTAATAAACAAAACTAAACTAATCCCGATTACAGGCTATAATTTTGGTGTCATTACATGTCAATCGTGTAAAGCATTTTTCCGGAGAAGTGCCCATAAATTGAATGTATGATAAAATTATTATATAAATAATACGTTTATTAATAATATGTTTATAACAAACTCAGACAATACAGAGTCGTAAGTGTGGATTTGGAAACAATTGTGATATAAATGTCTTAAACAGAAGATATTGCCAAAAATGTCGACTCAATAAATGTTTTGCCGTAGGAATGAGAAAGGTATTTTCAATATTTATATAATTGCAAAGTATTTGTTAACAAATATTTTGATTTTTAAGGAAAGGATTCTCAATGAAAAGGAAAAGTTTTTAATGCGAAAGAAAATCGAGGAAAACAGGATTAAGAGACTAAACATGGGGTCAGACACCAAACTAATTGAACCTACAGTTAGACCAGAATCTGGTTATTCATTAGAATTAACTGACAGTACAATAAATGATAGTCATGTGGACAGACGTGTTTTAAGTGACGAAGAAATGTGTGAATACATTAAGCAAATCGAGAATTTCTGCTCAAATGAATCCATAAATGAGAATAATATTAACATAACTATTGGTGCGAACAGTGATTACATGAATATTTATGAAAATAATACTATTATCAATGAGCAAATTATTACTGAAATCTCAAACTCAAGTGAATCTAATAATATTGATACAAATGAATCTGAAAACCCTAATGAATTGGACAGTGGTTTAGAAATGACAGTATGTACCCACCCGTCCAATCAACACATATTTACAAGCTTTAATTGTCTCAACAAATACCAGTATGAAATCAATTATCTGAAGGAGTTATTGAATACTTTGAACCCAATGGGAAGGATTCAGTTCATGAATAATAATATTAATTCAGTTGGAAATACATTTAATTCAGACGAGGAGTTCATGATACACTCGACCATAAACTTTGACTCATATATAAACAAGATCATTGCCGCCATTACGAGTTTAAAGGGTTTCCAAGACATTTGCCCCGACGACCAATTAACCTTGGTCAAATATGGCTGCATTGAAATCAAAATGTTGAGGGCAATCATATTCTATCGTTACGAATACCAGTGTTGGGTTGTCGAGGTACAGTGTGTTCACTTAGTTTATAGATTTATTAAATAAACTACAGTATACATTTTTAATTAATTACAGGAAAACAATGCTACAATCAAGTTCAATTTGAATTTATTTAAAGATTTCAAATATAACAACATATACACAGTCTTAAAGGATTGTCTGTTAAAAGTTGCCAATGAGTTAGACCGCGATCATCTCATACTTATTCTGGTATTTATTTTATTAATTATTTTTTTTATAAATTAATTACCGGTATTTATTGACAGTTAATGCCAATTGTATTGTTCAATCCGGAAAGACCTAACATTATTCACAAAGAAGTGATTATGTATGCAAACAATTATATTTAGTATTTTTTAAATTAAATTTATATCTAATTGTGTATTTTTATCATAGATTTCAACAACAATTATACGTGTATTTATTGCAACGATATTTAAGCATAAAATATGGCTCCGAAAGTGCTGTGAAGACCAAATTTGAAACGATTTATAACTTATTAAATGATATCCAAAAGTTACAGGAATTGCATAAACAAAACTTTCAATTAATTAATTCTCAATATTATGGACCACTTTTGAAGGAGATTCTTGATGTGCAAGCTAATTAAATATTATAATATTACATTATAATATTATATACAGTAGTAAATAAACAACTATTGTTAATCTATAGAGTTTATTTTCAAGATCAAATAAAAAACATTTTGAGATTAATTGCAATTATTAATGTTAATGTTTTATTTATTTGAAATCTATCACCAGTAAGTATATAAATTAATTATATCATTTCTAATGAATATTAATTTAATGTGAAAAGTTAGTAACTAATAGTTACTTTCAAAACATGTTTATTTCAAGTTTTATTATTTAACTCTGGTGCAAAACTAATAATTTATTACTAATAGACAATGCACTCAATGTGCACTTAACGTACTAAATTTACTTTTAACACAATTTAATCATAAATATTAATGAAATTTTTCATATAACGTGATTAAGATTTTTAAACATGTACATTAAATCAGAAATAGGCGTGTCGGAAAAATAATTTTATAAATATTAATTTGTATTCTGTCTAATAAAAATATTTATAAATAATTTAAAAACTTAAATTAAGGTAATTTTACACTTTTGACCAAATTATGAAATATCGATAAATTTTTAAAAATAAATTACTAATTGTCAATACTGTAATTATAAAACAATTTTCTTGATAAATGTCATCAATTTAATGGTACCATAAATCAATGCATAATCAAATAAATTATTTAAATATAATTTATAATTTAATTCAAACCCATGTCAATAGGATTGTTTAGTTTGTAAATTATTTGGGAAAGTCATTAAGTGATTGTGCACAATTTTGATTTACCTTTGTATAAAAATAGACTATCCTTAATAAATTAAATTTGATCCCAAAATAAGTTTATTTGCACTGTCAGTAGTTGTGCAACCACTTGGTACATACAATCTCTGTAAACTAATAGATTATCAACTTAATAAACTTATTTAATGTGCTCATTGTAATAAGGATCATTGAATTAAACTACAATTAAAAGTAAATACAAATTTATGATTTGTATAAAATGTCGACTAAACTAAAAAGTTGTGTAGTTTGCGGGGAACATGCGACAGGTAAGCAATTTGCAATTATTTAAATCATACATAAATGTACTGAAACTACCCCGGAATCAACAAAAGAGTTAGTATTATAAAAGCAAAACTATTCCCGATTACAGGCATTCATTTCGACGCCCTATCGTGTGAATCGTGTAAAGCATTCTTCCGGAGAAATGCCCACAAATTCAATGTATGATAGAAATTATGATATAAACAATGGGTTTATCAATAATATGTTTATAATGATATATACTCTGAACAATACAGAGTCGCAAATGTGCATTTGGAGACAATTGCGATATAAATGTCTTAAACAGAAAGTTTTGCCAAAAATGTCGACTAAATAAATGTTTTTCCGTAGGAATGAGAAAGGTATTTTCAATATGAATATAATTGCAAAGGATTTGTTAACAAATATTTTTATGTCTAAGGATTGGATACTCAATGAAGAGGAAAAGGAGTTAAGGAGAAAGAAAATCCAAGAAAACAAGATTAAGAGACTAAACACGACTAAACAAACTGAGCGGACAGTTAGCCCAGAATCTGGTTATTCATTAGAATTAACTGACAGTACAATAAACGATAATCATGTGGACAGTCGTGTTTTAAGTGATGAAGAGATTTGTGAATACATTAAGCAAATCGAGAATTTCTGCTCAAATGAATCCTTAAATGAAAATAATATTAACGTAACTAATGGTGCAAACAGTGAGCACAGGGATGTTGACGAGACAAATATTATTGAATCTTCAAACTCAAGTGAATCTAATAATACAAATAAATCTGAAAACCCTAATGAAATGGACAGTGGTTTGCAACTGGCAGTATTCACCCACCCGTCTACTCAACAAACATTTACAAACTTTAATTGTTTCAACAAATATGAAATCAATTATCTGAAGGAGTTATTGAATACCTTGAACCCAATGGGAAGGATTCAGTTCATGAATAATAATATTAATTCAGTTGGAAATACATTTAATTCAGTCGAGGAGTTCATGTTATACTCGACCATAAACTTTGATTCAATTATAAACGAGATCCTTGCTACCATTACGAGTTTAAGTGGTTTCCAAGACATTTACCCCGACGACCAATTAGCCCTGGTCAAATATGGCTGCTTTGAAATCAAAATGTTGAGGGCAAACCTATTCTTTCATTACGAGCACCAGTGCTGGGTTTTTGAGGTGTGTTCACTTAGTTTATATATTTATGAAATAATCTTTTAATTTTAAATAATATTTAAATTGTTAAATTATTACAGGAAAATAACGCTACAATTAAGTGTAATTTGACTTTATTTAAAAACTTCAACTATAACAACATATACACTGCCTTAAAGAATTGTCTGCTAAAATTTGCCATTGAGTTAGACCGCGATCATCTCATACTTACCCTGGTATTTATTTTATTATTTTTGTTAGTGATTAATTAACTATAACTTATTGACAGTTAATGCCTATAATACTATTCAATCCGGAGAGACCACACATTATTCACAAAGAAGTGGTTATGTATGCAAACAATTATATTTAATATTTAAAAATTGATGTTGTATTATATTATTTACAAATTTTTATCACAGACTTCAGCGACAATTATATATGTATTTATTGCAACGATATTTGAACATAAAATATGGCTCCGAAAGTGTTGTGAAGACAAAATTTGCAAAGATTTGTAACTTTTTAAATGATATCCAAAAGGTACAGGAATTACATAAACAAAACTTTCAATTAATAAGTTCTCAATATTATGGACCACTTTTGAAAGAGATTCTTGATGTGCAAGCTAATTATAATCATCCTAATAAGATATATTAAATAGCTAACTATTGTTAATCTATAGTGTTTATTTTCAAGATTAAATAATAAATATATTGAGTTTAATTGTAATTATTATTGTTAAAGTTTTATTTATTACCAGTAAGTATATAAATTAATTATATCATTTGTAACATTATAATATAATTATATAATTATATTAATTTAATGTTCATTGTTAGTAAATAATAGTATTTTTCAAAATATGTTTATTTCAAGTTTTATTATTTAACTCTGGTGCAAAACTAATAAATTATTTTAGTATAATACCTTTATAGACAATGCACTTAACGTACTGTACTAAATATACTTGTAACACAATTTAACCATAAATATTAATGAAATATAGCATACCATATAATATGATTAAGATTTTCAAACATGTACATTAAATCAGAAATAGATGTGTCTGAAATAAACTGATTAAAGGTAACAATTATATGACAATTAATTAAATATACAATAATTTACTTAAAAATAACAATATCACTTAATATTATTAAAAACTAAATATAGCCTTAATGGTTAATAGGCAATATTTTTGGTGTCATAACACGTGAAAAGTATTGTTTCGAAAAAATGCCCACAAATCCAATGAATGTTTCAATCAATCTATAATTCATTCATTCCCATACTGTATATGAATTAAATTTACATTTTCATAAAACTCAATGTCACTCAAGTTTGAATTTTTAAATTACATAGGGGGTTTTGATTATAAATTAAATTAATTTATAAATATTCAAAACATTTATTAGATTCGACTCAATGCTCGGGAAGATCTTAACATACCTTATGTAGTTAAATAAAATAGACTGTCCCAGATCAATCAATTTTTATAGTTTAGTAGTAGCTTTTTCAAAACAGGTTTATTGTGAGCTTTTTAATATTAGTGCAACTTTTGAAGTCTATACTTCATTTGAAAAATAATGCACCAAACGTGCAAAAATGTAATACAATTTATTGATTCAAAAAAAATAAAATAAAGTTATTTATTTGTTTATAATGTCCACAAAATTAAAAGTTTGTGTAGTTTGCGGGGAATGGGCAACAGGTAAGAAATTTTGCCATTATTTGAATGATAATTTGTATTGTTACAAACATTTGCTGATCAACTAAAATGTTATTATTTATATAAAACTAAATAAATGTTAATTATAGGCAATAATTTTGGTGTCATTTCGTGTGAATCGTGTAAAGCATTCTTCCGGAGAAATGCCCACAAAACATATGTACGACTAAATCAATTTGAAAATAATTTGTTAGTTTATTAATAGTAATATTTGTTTATTACATATTTACTAAAGGGACTTAAATGTATGTTTGAAAACAATTGTTACATAAGTGTGGTAACTAGAAAGTTTTGCAAACAATGTCGACTCACTAAGTGTTTTGCAGTTGGGATGAAGAAAGTATGACATGAATACAAATATAAATATAAAGTTTTATAAGTTATAAACTATAACTATTTTTATGTCTAAGGAATGGATACTCACTGAAAGGGAAAGGGATATAAGGCGAAAGAAAATCGAGGAAAATAAGATCAAGAAACTAAACAAGTATTTAGACACTTGTCTAATTGAACGGACAGTTAGTCCACAATTGTGTGAATATTCAGAAAAAGCAATAAATTCAGATTTGGACAGTCGTGTTATTAGTGATGAGGACTTGTGTGAATATATTAAGCAAATCGACAATTTCTACTCAAATGAATACATCGATGAAATCAATGTCAGCGGATTTAGTGATGCAAATCATAAGGACATCCCCTTACCATTACCATTGAGTTTAGAGGCTCTGGTCCACTCACTTAATATTAATGAGACACACATTGCTATTAATAAGAAAGTTACATCAGAAACTAATAATAATAACAGTAATGAATTGTCAAATGAGATAATCAATGGCTTGGAACTGGCAGTAATCATACACCCGTCCACTCAACACTCGTTTATAAACTTTAATGGTCTCAACAAATATGAATTCAATTGTCTGAATGAGTTGTTGAGTGCCCTGAGCCAAATGGGACGGTTTCCGTTCACGAATTGTAATATACCTTCCGTTAGGAATACCTATAATTCAATGGAAGAGGTCATGAAATACTGGACAATAAACTTTGATCCGTATATATCACTCATTGTTGGCACCATTCAAAAGTTAAGTGGCTTTCAGGAAATGTGTCTCAATGACCAAATAGCCCTGATCAAGTATGGGTGCTTGGAATTTAAGATATTGAGAGTAGCCCTCTACTTTAATTATGAATACCAGTGTTGGGCGCTTAAGGTATGTCCACCACTTTGATCTAAGTTTACTTTTTATGAATACTAAATAATTTTCTTAATTATTACAGTATTTACATTGATAGTTTATGATGTATTTGTATCTATTAAATAATAAGGTTATCAATGTATAAATTAATCTATGTATTCTTATAATTGCAGGATAATAACGATACAATTAAAGCGAATTTAAGCATGTTCAAGAGTTACAAACAAAATAACTCGTATAATATGTTAAAGAAATATTTGTTAAGAGTTGCCAATGAATTAGACTGCGATCATCTCATACTTATCTTGGTATTTATAATGAATAACTTGTTAGTATTTTGAATTACAATTAAATTTAGTTGAAAACAATTTTGACAGTTAATGCCTATAATACTATTCAATCCGGAGAGACCACACATTATGCACAAAGAAGTGGTTATGTATGCAAACAATTATATTTATGTTTTCAAATTGTTTTGTATCTTTTTTTATATAACAGACTTCAACGTAAATTATACGTGTATTTATTGCAACGATATTTAAGCATAAAGTATGGATCCGAAAGTCAAGTGAAATCTAAATTCCTAAGTATTTATCATGTTCTACATGATATACATAAGTTAAAAGAATTGTACAAGCAAAATTTTAAAATTGTAAGCTCTGAGTATTATGGACCACTATTAATGGAGATTCTCGACTTCCAGTCTACTTATACCCATCATATTATGTAACATTAAATTATGTAGTCAGCAAATAATTATATTGTAATTGTAATTATATTGTAAATAATTCAGAATAAGCTACCTCAATCTTAACGTAAATTATGTTGTAAATAGAATGCTTAATTAAATATGCTACCATTGTAAAAGTATTATTAATATTAATAAACTATTATAGTTTAATAAGTGATATTACAATTATTTAATTTTTTATGTAATATTTGCAAAAATAAGATGTCTAAATTACAATTAGTCTAATATGAAAATTTGTTTTAAAAATTAACAAATTAGAAATTCAAATTACTTATAAATTTGTTGGAATGTCATACTAAAATTATAAACTAAAATTGTATATTAAATTACATCAAATTGTACATCAATTGTACATAAAGTACTTAATTTGAATTTTACATTTACATCGAAAGTCTCTACTGATTGGACAGGGTGATTGCAATCACGTCATGAATTAAATAAACACCCTCTGATCATACCATGTATTAGTTTAATATTGAAAGTAACTTTCAAAACATGTTTATTACGAGTTTTGTATGAAGTCTATGGTGTAGTGCTTTAGTGCATTCATAACATTTGATAGACAATGCACTTAACATGTACTAAACGAACTAAATCTACTTGTTATACAATTTAAAAATAAATATATTACTTTTAAATCATACCTTGATTAAAATGTATAAAAATGTCAACTAAATCAAAAATATGAAGACAATGCACTTAACATGTACTAAACGAACTAAATCTACTTGTTATACAATTTAAAAATAAATATATTACTTTTAAATCATACCTTGATTAAAATGTATAAAAATGTCAACTAAATCAAAAATATGCGTTGTGTGCGGGGAATGGGCTAAAGGTAACAAATTAACAATCATTTGAAATAATAAATAAATAAATATAATACACCATAATATATTGTGAATCATGTAAATAAAACTAAACTAACCCTGATTGCAGGCAATAATTTCGGTGTCATTACATGTCAATCGTGTAAAGCATTCTTCCGGAGAAATGCCAACAAATCCAATGTATGATAAAAATGAATTTTCAAACAATTTAGCAATTTGATTGATCACATTGTTTTGTACCATGGTCATAAATACTTTCTATGCAGCGGTTTAAGTGTGAATCGGACGAGGATTGCAATATAAATGTCTTAAACAGAAAATCATGCAAAAAATGTCGACTCAATAAATGCTTTGCCGTAGGAATGAGAAAGGTACTAATAAAATAAATATTTAATTAATTTATTATTGTAAACAAGGTATCAATAAGATATTGTTTGCATTGACAGGAATGGATACTGAATGAGGAGGAAAGGCATTTGAGACGTAAACAGATCGAGGAGAACAGGATTAGGAAACTCAACAAGTCTTACACCAGTAGTAAACCTATTAAAGGGACAGTTAGTCAGGAATCGGACGACTCGTCAGACTCTTCATTGTCATCACTATTAG